TATTTTTATACTCCTCCCTGGTCATTTGTCCAAGTCTTCCACAGTTAGTGCTCTCTGGGGCGAGGAGTCCCTGCCACTCCTACTCAGGGCGTATTGGTGCTGCTTGCGGGGGGGGGGAGGGGGGCGTAGGCACAGTGGCAGGAAAACCCTGTTCCTGTGGGTCCACCCCACTGCCCCCACTCAGAATAGCAGAGTGAGGGGCCCCCTTGGGCCAGGGGCGCTGGGCAGGGCCCCCAGCTCGCTGCCCTCCCCACCTGCCTCTGGCACCAGGTGTGTTTCTCCTGGGCGCAGGGATCCGCTCGTGCCACTAGGTGGAGCCCAAGCAGCACTCCTGGGGTGGGGCCCGGAGCCGGCTCACAGGTGGGGGTCAGACGGGCTCGGAGTTCCCAGGCCCCCCTTGCCGGCCCTCTGCCCCGCTGCTCTCAGCCCTGAGAGCCCTGCCCGTCTAGCAGGCGGCCTGGTGGGGTGCTGGGGGGCACGGGACACTGCGTGGCTGGGACAGCCGGGGCTGGGGAGGGCCCTTGCTCGGTCCCCAGGGGCCTGGAGCCAGGCTTCACTCTCCCTCCCTCCCTTGTCTCTGCAGAGAAAAAGCGCCTGGAGGACAAGCGGCGGGAGGACGTCTGGGAAGGCCGGGACTGAGCCAGGGCGGCAGCGGAGGAGACCGGAGCACCCAGGGCTGCTGGCAGGCACTTGGCAGGGAGGCACTGTGGTGCCGTGGGCTTCAGACGCCAGCGCAGCCCAGTGCCAGCTGCACCCACACAGGCTGGCCGGGCTGTCAGTGGGGGAAAGGGGAGAGGCCCGTCTGAAGCCTGGCGGGGGGAGAGGGTCCGGCTGACAAAACGCAGCAGCTGTTTGTATTAGGACTCTTAGTGGGGGTGGGCTGGCAGGCCCTGCCGCCGGTGTGTGCGCCCTGGAAGGGGGCATTGGCCTCCCTCGGACCTGTCTCTTGCCCTTTGAGATGCTGGAGCACAGGGAGTCAGTGCTCTGGAGCGCTGGGCTGGGGCAGCGGTAGACCGGCTGAGTCTGGTGGCTGTGCCCTGTGCCTGGCACTGCTCGGGCTGCGCTTGTGCTGGGTAATGCCCTGACGCACTGGCTGCAGCTGGTCGGTCGCTGCTGGAAACACGGCCTCCAGGCTGCCCAGCTCACTTTCGAGGCTCCCTGCAGCAGCCCAGGCCATGCGAACAGCCCTGGGCAGCGGGAGGGGATTTCGCAGGCCTCTGCGTGAGCCATGCTGAGCGGTGCTGTGCCGATCCGAGCCAGTGCAGGCTGGGGATGTGCAGAGCGCGGGTGAGTGAGAAGCCATGTGCGATGGAGGTTCCCTGTCCTTTATTTTGCTATTAAATTGCCTGGTTTTTACACTGCCCAGAGGCTCCGGGCTGCAGATCTCTGTAGTTTCCCCTTGTAACCCTGGTGATGGAGTGATGTAGGGTGCAGAGGGAGCTGCAGTCCCTGGTAGCTGCCGTCTCAGGGCCTGGAGAGGCTGTTTGGGACAGTGGCAGACGCGCAGGAGCAGGGTATTCCTGGTGAAATGGTCAGCAGTGAAATGGTTAATGTATGGGCCTTTAACGTGTTACCATTAGGTTTCAGAGTGAACAGCTTCAATGTGATGGGCTCAGACTGGCATCACGGGGTCAGGTTCTCGGGGGGAGGGCTTGGTGCCGAAAGGGTGGGAGGCCCCCATGCCGTGTGCTGGGAGGCAGGAGTATTGTTCTGCCTGCAGAGCACACGGCAGGTGCGCACTGGAGACCTGCGCTGCCCGGGTGTGTCTCCTGCCCTGCGGCCTGGCTCGGCTCTGGGATGGGGCCTGGGCAGCATGGGGTTGTCACCCAGAATGAGAGGTGAGACAGGCAAGCATTGGGGAACCCTCCCTCCCTCGGCACTTTGAGCCCCTGGCTGCTGCTCCAGCCCTGGTCCCACACGCCGCTTTTCCTCAGCGTGTTTATAGAAAACCCAAACCCTTTCTGCTCAGAGAGTCACTCTGAGAAGGAGCCCAAGGGCCACGGTCCGTGCACCTGCTCCCACAGGCTGTGGGGCGAGTGAGATGCCTCCCGGGTACCTTGGGAAACGGGACAGTTTCAGGGGATTTCAGTCAGGCCCAGCCAGTTCTAATGGCCCCGCACAGGGCCTGGCCCTGGGAACTCCCACCCGGGACGCGGCGCTGGAGAAGTTGGGGCCTGCTGGGAAGCTTCGCTATACACCAGTCCCATCTCGGAGCTCTCTGAGGGCTGGGCCAGGCTGTCATGGACTCCCAGGTCGGGCCCACTCTTGGCCCCGTTCGCTCCCTGGGGGAAACCTCTTCAGTGTGACAGCCCTTCTCGGGCGTCCACTCTCCTTCGGGGTTAGGCCCCTCCACCTCCTGGAGCCACATCTCTCTGAGCCTTAGCACGTCTGTCTCTGCCGTGGGCCCCCTCAGGGAGTCCACTCGCTCTGGACCCCCGGGGCCTCCACTCCCAGAGGGAATAATGCCCTTCCGACCCTGTTCTATAGCCTGGAGCAACTGTCAGCTAGCGTAACACCTGAGGGTTTGAGTGTTCGAACCCAGCACAGGAAACTCTCAGGGCCTCCCTCAGCCCAGCACATCCCAGTCCCCCCTGCATCCAGGCGGGCTCTGCCTGCTCCCCCTCTCCAGCCCGGAGCCCCCCTGCTTCCCAGCTGGGCATCCGATATCACCAGCCCCAGGCCCCGCCTCTGTCCATTGTCTTCTCTCCAGGGAAACAGGGTCATAAACTGGGTCGTCTGGGCCTCCTGTCCTCTCTTCTGTCCTCTGGCCCCTCTGGCTGGAACTGGCTGGTCAGGTCACGCAGCCCATTGTCCTCCCACTGCCCAGAACCAGCTGTGACTCCCGAGCTGGGCCTTCGGGTTGCCAGGTCACCGGTTGCTGGGGTGTCCCTCCTCCAGGCCATCGGCTGGGGTCCCAAGTTCCCTCTCCGGTCCTCTGTAACCACAAACTCCCTCTTCCCTCACCTCGTTAAACCAGTAACATCCAGAGACACTGAGTCCCACCCCCTCTGCATGCAAACCATTGGGAAAAAACAAGAAAATCCCCCACTTCGTCACACGGGCCAGCAGACACGGGCACACTCGGGGGTTCCCAGGGGAACGTAGCCAGCGGCCGAAGGGCGGGGCGCCCTGCCTCTGAAGGAACAGCTTCAGCTGGGAGCCGCTGTGCCCTGTGACCACCGCGTCCCGTAAATAGCAGCCACCACTTAGTGCAGTGAGAGCGTCGGCCTGTGGGCACACGCGCCGCTTCCGCCTCTGTCTGTCGGAAAGGTCACGGGCTGGTTTCCGGGCACTTGGCCACTTAGCAGCCCCTGCAGAGCAGCCGCAAACAAGGGGCTGTGTGTGCTGTGTGCACAGGGAAGGAGAGCTGCCCAGAGCCCTGCCGCCGAGCTGGGTTTGACATGGGGAGGAACAGCTCCAGTAACTCCTGCTCCCACTGGACACAGCTGCTTGGGCAGGGAATGGGCAGTGTCCAGAGAGCCGGGGCCCCGCTCTAGGGGAGGTGAGGGCTGCTGTGGCAAGAGGTGCTGCATGGGGCCTGCAGGCAGTGGGCACAATGCTCGTGCTGCCACCGTGGGAGAGCACTTCTGCCCCGTGAGCCCTGGCAGGGCTAAGGGGGCAGTGAAGGCAGCCCAGGCGGAACCCCAGGGACTCTGGCCACGCGCAGGGCCTGGCCGGTGCCGTGAGTGGCAGGAAGGTGCAGGTCCCAAGGAAGCTCTCCTGGCAGGAATGTGTTGGCTGGCAGCTTGTTTACTTCCTGCCCAGGGCAGTGGGGTGTGTCCTGTCTAGGAAGGGGCAGGCGGCAGCCCCTCTGCGGGGCGTGTGATGTGGGCAGCATTCCGGGACATGGGCGGGCGGGCGGATTCCTGCCCAGCACCGTGGGACCTGCTTTTCCTGGCACTCGCAGTAGCTCTAACCACCTGGCAGCCCCGGGCCCCTCCTGCTCGTCGGAAACAGCTTCCTCTACGCTGGGCTGCTGCGTGTCCCTGGATGGCAGGTGCGGCCTGGCGGGGAGCCGAAGGTGACTGCCCCATTCGTCTCACACTGCCCTTGGGAGACAGGACCTGCATGGGATGGGCCAGTTCCATTGCCCCCAGGAGCCCTGGACTGGGCTTCTCGGGTGACCTGCCCATGGGGCCCATTTCCCCAGCCCATCATGCTGGGTGCTCGTGCCCTGCCCAGGGCATTGTGCCCCTAGCAGTAGCTGTGTCTGTCTGTCTAGCAGGATGGCAGCTCCTGGTCTGGGGGCAGGGAGTTCACACAGCCCTGGCTAACCTGGGCAGTGCTGTTCCCTTCAATCAGCCCATAGCAATGCCCTTAGCCGTCCCCTTGTCCGTGTGCCCCGAGCCGGGCTGACAGCAGCCAGACGCCCTGCCTTGTGCCAGGCGCTAGTTACTGTCTGGCATGTCTCCTGGTATTCGTCTCTTCTGGAGGTTAAACAGCCCTGCCCCATGGCCTCTCTCCCCACAGGCCGTGGAGGGGAAGATGGGGCAGGCATCTCTGGAAACTTGCCCTCTTCCCTGCACTGCCCCTGAAGCTCTGGCTAGCTGGACTGTTGGTCTGACCCGCTCTGGCCGTGCTCGTGGTCCGCTGTAACCGTTCGGAGCTGGGGCTCTGAACTGAGCAGAGGGCCAGCCGCGGGCACTGCTGCCGTTCCGTGACATAATCGCGTTTCTATCCCATTCGTTACCCACCCTGCCCATGGGGCCGTGCGGCTGGCAATGCTGCCCAGGCAGCAGTTAGCACGGAGCTGGCCAAAGCGATGGTCTCGTCTCTTCTTGGAGCAGCTACGGTTCATCTAGAACCAGGCAACGGGGGGGAACAGTTCGTGTTTTACTTTGCATTTGCCAACACCAAATGTCATCTGCCGTTGTGCTGCCAGCTCCCCTCGCTCGCCCCCAGCCTGCTGTGGGCCTGACGACCCGAAATAACGCTGGGGCCTCGGGCAATGTGGGTCCCTCCTTCCCAGCTCCTTGGGAGCAGCGCGCGTAGCCACCCCGGTCCTCGGGCTGCCCGACACTTCTCACCCCGGTCCTCGGGCTGCCCGACACTTCTCGCTGTGTGACCGTTTTCAGTGTGAGCCAAGCTTGACCCCGGGCGCCTTCAGGGAAGTGTCAGCCGGAGCCGCCAGGACCAGGACGGGGGCGTACA